GTCAAACTTTTGCTTCCATAGAGTGTCATAAGGAATACTACTTCTTGCACTATTTTGACTTTATAGGTAACATATAGTATTACCTATTCATAGGCATTAATGGGAAAGGAGTAGAAATTATTAAAGAGGTTGCCTTATTTATTTACTTTTGCAACTTATATTACTACAATTGCAGGCTCCAACTGCAGCCATGTTAAGTTTAGTAAATGCCTGCTCAAAAATGAAGTTTACCTATTAAAAACATGTTTCTAATATGTTTCCACATGCATAACACACGTTCATCTGCAGCCTGCAAATTTTCTTTCCCCCAAATCTCAGAGCTCATTGCTTTTTTGCTTTTTCAGAAATTAACTTTTGTGGTGCCACAAGATTTCTTTGTTGGTTTTTCATTTTCTTGAGCTAACAAAAAACTGTGACACTCTTGGCATTCTTTGGATGACATAGGTGAACTCTGGCCACCTATCAGAGGTGGTATTCAGCCGGTTTGGGCCAGTTTGCCCGAACTGGTAGCGGAAATTGCAGGTGGGCCCGCCCACGTGCCCACCCACGTGCCCACCCACCCTGGCTCTATGCCATCCTATTTAGGCAAGTTTTTGAGGCTGGGTGCATGCACGGAAGGCACATGCACAAGCAAAGCACATGTATGGAAGGCAAGCGTGTGTGCGAACCAGCCATGCGTGTGCACGAAGTGAGCACGCATGCACACGTGGTGAACCAGTAGTAACATAACATGAAACCCACCATTGCCACCAATGTGTGGGTCTAGAACTCTCACCAGTTAGAAGTAGAGCATATTGAGACTAGGGTAACCAGTGTCCTGAGCAGGGAAAGAAGGACATAAAAAATTGAAAAGGAGAACAAATGGGGTGGAAAAGAAGACACACTAACAGTATAACTTTCTTGGCATCTGTGAAAAAAAGATATAGTAAAAATAACCTGCCAAAAATGTACATTTATGCCTACATTTATATGAAATTACTTTTTTACAGCATCAGAAAGACTGCTGTTTTGGTTGAAACATTTTTTTCAACACATTGTTATTTTCAAGAACATTTGCTAGTGATAATACAGAATTGATGAGGTACTTTTCAGATTTCACCAGAGAAACGTATTGATGGATCATGTGATCCACAGACTCCAGTGATCAAAGATTTGAAGCGTCTGAATTGAAGCTGATTGATGGACTCAGGAAATAAATTAAATAACATAAATCTAGACGATCAAGTCTATCAGCAGAGGAGGGAAAGAAAGAAGCAGGTAATTTACAAGTTCACAAGTTGGAATGACTACTGTTGTGAAGGCAGACCAATTTTTTAAAAAGATACTCAAAAAGCCAAGCAATATTTGATTTTAAAACTATGCCTGTAAGATGGAGAATGTGAGGATAAAAAGAAAGATATGGCCTCATTTTGCCTAACATCTCACAATTGTAGGTGAGACTTAAGTAGATTTTATCTGGTAGGTGCACAGAAGTGCTAATCTTCTAAAAGAACCACCTAAAAAGGAATCTGGAGGGGAAAATATACAACACTTAGGGGAAACATATCAGGAGGATGTGTTGGTGAGTACCTCACATGCTTTGTGAATGAATACAATGCCACAGAAATCAGATAAAATGTTCGTGTTGGTTAGCCTTTTGGGACGATTACAAAAACAGCAGCTGAACAGGTGATTATGCTATGCTGAGGGTCCACATGAGCTGCATCTCCAGGTACAACAGCTGGTTGACTCAGATGGCTGCCAAAAGTAGGGAAAACAACGTTCTATTCTTGAAAAGGCTGTCTGCGCCAACTCAGAAAGCTCAAACTGCCCAAGCTGATACAGTTCTACAGAGGAATTATTGAGTCTGTCATCTGCACCTCTATAACTGTCTGGTTTGGTTCTGCAACCCAACAAGACAGACACAGATTTCAACAGATAATTAGAACTGCAGAAAAAACAATGGCTACCAACCTGCCTTCCATTGAGGACCTGTATACTGCACCAGTCAAAAAGAGGGCTGTGAAAATATTTACAGACCCCTCGCATCCTGGACATAAGTTGTTTCAACTCCTACCCTCAAAACGACGCTATAGAGCACTGCACACCAGAACAACTAGATCAGTTTTTTCTCGAACGCCATCACTCTGCTAAACAAATAATTCCCTCAACACTGTCAAACTAGTTACTAAGTCTGCATTACTATTAATCTTCTCATCGTTCCTATCACCCACCTCCTCCCACTTATGACTGTATGACTGTAACCTTGTTGCTGGTATCCTTAAGACTTATATTGACTGTTTCCCTATGACTATCATTAAGTGTTGTACCTTAAAAGAGGCTGAAAATTTGGGTGCATTTTATACTCCGAATGCAGGTTTTTCAAAGCATTTTTTCAGCCCTAACGAGGCGCTAACAAGGCACTAGCGAGTGATCTTCCCAGCTTTGCCTGCTCCCTCAACTCTCCGCTGTGCTTTAACATTTAACGAGGCACTAGCAAGTGAAGCAATCTCCATGCTTTGCTCCGACTCTCAGCTATTCTTTAGAAGCTTTTTTTCAGCCCTAACTAAGCGCTAGCCGAGTGAAGCAATCTCCCCCCTCACCCCTGCTTTTCTCATTGCCTGCTTTTCTCATCGCTGCTTCCTCTCAGCTGTGCCTTAGAAGCTGTTTTTTATCCCCAAGCAGGGGATAAAAAAACCAGCCAACTAATGTGCTGAAGCTGACCAGACTAAGGATGCTAGCCAGAAGAATAGGTAGGCAGATTTTTTTCCCCCTATTTTCCTCCCCAAAAGCTAAGCTGCGTCTTATACTCCAGTGCATCTTATACTCTGAAAAATACGGTAAATGTCAAAGCAGGATCATCTGCAGGAGAGGGCAAAAACAGCAAGATGGAGTTTCAGGGTGCAAGGCCTGAACATGAAGAAGAATAAGAATATAACTTTATTATGGTCATAGACCAGCAATAGACATCACTGTTTACAATACATTAAAAAATACTATTGACTTTAATAATGGATAATAACATCCCTGTTAAGATAATACATGTTCTCAAACAGTTAGGGTTACTCCCTAATTTATGTGAGTGGAGAGCCGACACATATGTGAGTAAATATAATTTTCCAAAAATTGTTAGAGATATCTCCACGAAATTGGCACAAGCTGACAGCTATAATTCTGTAATCAATTTTTTTCTTGTGGACATTGCAGCAACACAGAATTTTGCCACTGCACGCGTCATAGCTGGTTTGAGTCCTGGAGGAGAAACCCTACATAAAAATTGTCTGCCTTCCCTGGCAAATTCTCTAATAAGGGGAGAATATAAACAGTGACCTACAAACTCTGTAGAACTCACAGTACAATAAAACATGTGAGATATCTTCGACTTCTCCATTAGCTTTTGAACATGAATACATGTATTCAAAAGGAATAAGGATTGCACTGCACCGTCTTTTGATTTTGACAGGCACACACGGCACAAATACCACTGCTGTAAAATCAGATGATAACATCAAAATCAAATACATCCAACGTAAGTATCTTGGAACAGTTTGACCTTAAGCCTTAAAGACTAGAAGGATGTCTCCCATGGATTTGAGGTCTTAGATGCAGTTCTTCGTCCTGATAAAGGCCACCAAAGCACTATAACCCAAAGTATGGTCCAGGTGTTTCGTCTTTTACCAACTGATTTCAATTATCCAGGGCAAAAAGGGAAGGAGTAGCAGAAAGAAGGGGGGATTCTAAATTATTATCTGGATCCCCCACACTATCTTGAAAATGGGATGAGATGATGATACAGTAAGTGACTCGCCTGGATACCCATTGTTATCCTGGCCTTGCCTTTGTGGGAGTCTGAACAATATATTGTATAGGCAAGTATGAAGAAGACATCTGGGGGAGGGAGATATTTATAAACAGCATTCAGATCTTATCTTCTGTACTGAGCACCTCAACTTTTATTTCCACCATAGATACTACCAAGGACACATATTAACAACTTACAATATCTACACAAATATTAAAGAAAGGAAAACCTCGTATGTTTTATAGAAACAAATTTGATCTACGAGCTATAGAGTACTAAATCTGCCTTTAGATTACCCCACTTACTCCACAAATCAGATATTGGTAAATTCAAGAAAACCCTCTCCAACGTTTTTCCAGTCTGTAAAATCAAAAGTAGCAGGATAATTACAAGAATAAGGGAAAAAACAAGGTTATACACAGGGGTGGGATTCAGCCGGTTCGGACCAGTTCAGGCGAACTGGTAGTTGTGACCTGCTGGTGGGGCCCACACCTACCCCAGCGCTATGCTGTCCTATTTAGCTGCATTGTTTCAGCTGTGCGCATCAGTAGTAGGTTGCAAAACCCGTCGCTACTGGTTTGCTCATGCGCATGTGCATGCTCTAACGTGCACACAATGCTTCTGTGCATGCACAGAAGCATCTGGCATGGGTGGGCCAAGCCTCCCGCTGCCGCCACTACCGGTTCGCCAATCTGGGTAGAACCAGGAACAACCCACCACTGGTGTGCATGTGTGCAAGCATGTGCACCAGCAAAGCTCATGTGCAGAAAGCCGCGTGCATGCGCAGAAGGCACACACACGCTCACATTTTCAGTGCTGGGGCGAACCGGTTGTTCAATTATGTGAAGCCCACCTCTGGCTATTCAGGAAGCAGTTTCCCTATGCTGAATTCTGTTGGGATGTAAGCATTAGACCAAGAATGACTTATCTTCTTTGTCAGCCACGAAGGGGTAAGGCAGCATGTACATTATTTCTAAATAACTTAAATCAACAAAAAGAGTACAGGTGAATGACAGACTGTTTGTTTGGCATCTGATTGATGGGCTATCTAGCCCATCTCTAGATAGAGGACTTTCATCCAACAGTTATTTATAGCTCACCCATCTAGAAATGGAATATATGGAACTTGTGGAAATATATTATCCATCTGCTGATCATGGTGGAAGAAATGGAACTTGTGGAATATATTATCCATCTGCTGATCATGGTGGCTACTCACTGTGGTCAGATGTTGCAGCAGGTATGAAACATCAATCATATCTGCCAGAATAAGAAGTCTCGTAACAGCAGTCAAAAGAGCACGTGCTATTTGCACAACAGCCTCTCTTTTAGATAAGCTACAAGGATCGTCGGTGAATTTTTTTGCTGTTATCTTCAAAGCTTCACCTGCAAAATAAAAATATAAGTGAGGTCATTCAAATGCCCATAATAAATTGTCAGAGGCAGACCATCCCATTCAGAATTATACCAGTTGATTTACAACCTACCATTACAGATAAATCCCTGTAATTTAGGGCCAATTTGGTCATCGCTTTAGTTATTCATTCCATGCTAAAATAGATAAACAGGGCCAAAACTAATTGAAATCATCCTGTTTCACAACTACAATGTGTGTGCTCTATCTTCTTGCATTTCACTCTTAACAGTGCTTCCAGCTAATAAAATAACATTTGAAAACTCTATTCAATATTTGGCTGTTTCCATATTGTCACCTTTTATGTGTCTTGGCTTTTGGGAAAACCCTCATGGGTTTCTCTCACAATCCTGCAAAAAAAAATGGTATCTTAGCTTGCAAGGTAGTTGTTAGATCCCAGTTACTAGCTTGCTTAAAATAACATGTTCTCAACATGCTGGGTGCATTTCGAGCATGTTGACCAAAATGTGCCAACACTGACCACTAGTATACTTGTCTTTAATAGGGAACAATGCATGTGACATGGGTTATATGGAAGACGTTTTTGACCAGAGCAATGGAAGTACCAAAAGTCAACATCTATGACCCCATATAATGATGACCATGGCTTTTGGAAGATTGGGTCATAGATTGGAAGAAGAGTTTAATGGTAAAGTGCATGTAGGAACAAATGAAACCAAAGAGAGAGAAAGTGATACATATGGAGAAGCTCTGCCTGGTCCATCTTATCTGAGGGACCTTGACTCAGATGGTCTTCTGGGTGTGTAAATCTGAAAACTGATACTTTATAAGCAATTCTAACAATAAAATGGCAATGATTCTTATCCAAGGAAGAACTGACCTTAGCATTTAAAATTCTGCATACTAAATTGGAATATTGCATTCAGTTTTGGTCGCCACAATGTAAAAAAGATGTTGAGACTCTAGAAAGAGTGCAGAGAAGAGCAACAAAGATGATTAGGGGACTGGAGACTAAAACATATGAAGAATGGTTGCAGGAACTGGATATGTCTAGTCTGATGAAGAGTAGGACTAGGGGAGACATGATAGCAGTGTTCCAATATCTCAGGGGTTGCCACAAAGAAGAAGGAGTCAAACTATTCTTCAACACCTGAGTGTAGAATAAGAAGGAATGGGTGGAAACTAATCAAGGAGATAAGCAATTTAGAACTAAGGAGAAATTTCCTGACAGAACAATTAATAAGTGGAACAACTTGTTGGATAACCATTTGTGTGAAGTGGTGTAGGGTTTCCTGCCTGGGCAGGGGGTTGGACTAGAAGACCTCCAAGGTCCCTTCCAACTCTATTATTCTATTCTATTCTATATTCATATATAACCAGTAATATTGTCGCTTCTGCCATCCTGTATTAATTTCCAATCGGTAATCAGAGCAACCATTCCAAGAAATCAAATTTCATAGTCAGGTAGATCAATCTTCACTTTCCATACTTAATTACCTTTTTTATTTGAATGATGCAGCCTTATTACCATGGTTTGTAGATTAAGAAGTGCAAATTATATCATAATAGGATTACAGAGTTTTATCAGTGGGGGTATGTCTGGCATTAAAATTATCAGCTATGATCAATTTTGAATTCGGCTTGGCCACGAGTTCCAGAAGGTCATCCTCAAACATAATCCAGCTGCCAAGTTGGTTTAAGTGATCTTCCAACGTAAAGAGCCTCTTCAAAATATAGAGAGCATATAGGAAATGCTATCAACCTTCAAAAAATGACTAGTTCTGCTGATAAGGCACACAAGGAAACACTTTGGACCTCACTGATTCAACCACGAATATGTTGTTGCAAAATCTAAAAACCTCATTCAAACTTGAAATAGGCCAGGTAACACAATAAGCCACACATATGACTGGAACTCTTTAAATAGTCCTCAAGTTACAACCATTCATTCAGCGACCGTTCAAATTCACAACAGCACTGAATGAGTGGCACTTACGATTAATTCTCACAGTTACAGCTGTGGCAGCACCCCTGCAGTCCCATTTGGGCACTTGGCAACCGGCTCACACATATAAGGGTTGAAGTATCCCACCGACGTCATTTGCAACCTTCCATGCCTGAATCCCACAAGCAAAGCCTCCCACAAGAAACTGCCAGGGAACTTTTCAAGTCACTCCTATAAGTCATTCCTGCCATTTTTCTTCGGAGGAGTCCTGCTATGGCTGTGATGGCGAACCTATGGCACGCGTGCCACAGGTGGCACACGGAGCCATATTGGTGGGCACGTGAGTGTTGCCCTAGCTCAGCTCCAGCACGCATGTGCATGCTGGCCAGCTGATTTTCGGGCCTTCTGGGCCCACTGGAAGTCAGCAAATGGGCTGTTTCCGGCCTCTGGAGGGCCTCCGGGGGGATGGGGAAGGCTGTTTTTGCCCTCCCCAGGCTCCTAGAAAGCCTCTGGAGCCTGGGGAGGGTGAAAAACGGGCCTACCGGGCCCATTGTGCCATCACATGCCAAAAGTGGGGGGACCATGGGGGGATCACGCATGCTTGTGCGGGGGGGCAGGGTGCATAGAATTATGGGTGTGGGCATGCACTTGCGCGACCACCCCACACTCCCACCGCTTTTGGCACGCGATGGCAAAAAGGTTAGCCATCACTGTGCTATGGAGTACAAGATCCCTTCAACTCTGTAGCATACACCTGTCCACAGCACCCCCTCCACCCCACTGGCTCACCCATCCTCCCTAGCACCTACCTGTGCACCCACCCCCCAACAGTTCCCAGCCTGGAACTCCTGCCTCTTCTTGGTTAATAACCTGTGTGGTCCTGAGATTACAACAGCAGGGGACTCTCAAGTTTGCTCTCACTAAGTACCTTAGTCACATGACATCAGGTTTTATGATGGCATCGCTTAGCAACAGCAATCCCAGCCCCAATTTCCATCCTAACCCAAGAGCTACCTGTACTGAATTTATTTAGATATATATTTATCTGTAAAGTTTTATTGCTTCTAACCTTGTAAGCCACCCAGAGTCACCTTGTGGTGAGGTGAGCGGCAAAGAAATCAAGAGAGAGAAGCAAGCAAGCAAGCTATAGCAACAGAATCTTGAAGGCCTAATTGCATTTTCCCTTCCCTCTCTTGTATATTCTACAGAATGAAGATGGAATCAGTCTGAGCTCTTTTCTTATGCTTTCTCTTTTCTTATGCTTTCTCTCCGTTTCCTGGGCTTGAAGTTTGTTTTTATAGCTGTTGGCTCTGCCTAGTTTCTCAATGACTCTCTACGTCTGTGACGGCGAACCTGTGGCACGTGGAGCCATCTCGGTGGGCATGCAAGCCGACGCCCAGGTCAGCTCCACCGCGCACCTCCCGCCAGCCAGCTATTTTCAGGTCTCTGCTGAGAGATGCACACGCATGCACGGGGGGGGGGTCATGCACGCATGCACAGGGGGTGCAACGCCCCCCCCACCCCCCCATTTTTGGTTCTAGGAGGCTTCAGGGAGGCCTGCTAGCACCAAAATGGGGGTCGCGCACACATATGCGTTTTCGGCGCCTGAGGAAAAAAAGGTTCGCCATCACTGCTCTATGCTAATAGGACCTTCAGAGACACTAACAGTTTAGCGTATTGCATTAGATGTGAAAAAATACTACAAGACTCTTCTGGGAAAAGAGTGAAAAAATAGGAACTTTGTATGACCAACTGAGGAAGATAGCTCAAGTAGTGGAAAACACACAGGTAAGCCTTGTTTTGCAGTGATGGGGAAAGTAACTCAGTCATCAATCCTCGAATTTATGAACTTCGCAAAAGGAAGCTGAAATAGCATCATAAGCACAGTTGCAATCTCACTTGGCTTCACTTAACAACAAAGCTGCCCATCCCCAATTGAAGTCGCTAAGCAAGGCCCACCTCTCAATTATTTGGAATTGGAGGCTTACGATCCTCTTCGAACAGGATATTCTTCAGAAATAAAGATGGAATAAGCATTTCCGCCAAGGACCAAACCCTCCTGCCCTTTTGCAAAGCTGCAAAATCTGCCAGAGGCAGATTGAGGTAATTGTGCATTTAAGTCTTTGATTAAGATTGTGTTTCTTCCCCCTGATGCATTTGACTGATTATTGCTGTTTGGTTACCATGGTTTTTATTAGCATGGTACTATTACTTTAATCCTAATATGTAAACTACTTAAAGTGACTTTTGTAATTGATCAATAAACAAAGTCTTGCCCCAAGCTGAGAGTCCAATTTCAATCAGAGGCACGGATTGAACACTGTAGGACAGTGGTGTCCAATCTTGGCAACTTTGAGCATGGCTGGCTGGGGAATTCTGGAAATGGGGATTTTGCAGTATCCTTCCCCTGGAGAGGGGTGGGAATGGATATTTTGCAATATCCTTCTCCCAGGAGTGGGGGGGGATGGGGATTTTGCAGTATCCTTCCCCTGGAGTGGGGTGGGAATGGAGATTTTGCAATACCCTTCCCCCAGGAGTGGGGAGGAAATGGGGATTTTGCAGTATCCTTCCCCTGGAGTGGAGTGGGAACGGAGATTTTGCAGTATCCCTCTCTTGCCACGCCCACCAAGCCACGCCCACCAAGCCACACCATGCCCACCAAGCCATGCCCACAGAACCGGTAGTAAAAAAAATTGGATTTCGCCACTGAGAAACCCCCCCCCTTTTTTTTTTTTTAATTTGATTTATATGCTGCCCTTCTCCGAAGACTCAGGGCGGCTTACAATGTGCTCAGCAACCCTTTTTATTTAGAAAGGCAGGAATACAGAGCATTCACTGACAAAGGTCCAGGTCACATACATCCTTAGATGATTTGCGTAGCAGTCTCTGAGTTCCCCACAGGGAGCCTCAATTAGCACTTCAATCCCAACACAAAAAGTCCTGACCAACCTGGATAATGGCAAGGAAATCCTGGAGAGATTGTCTCCGACAACTGCACCTCCCACACCCCTCCTCCTTATATTCCAGCCAGGGAGGGGCTTGTTAGCAACTCCTTTTCCTGGATAG